ACGTAAGTAAGAGGAGGAAGGAAGTAGAGAAGAAGGAAGAAAGGGAGAGAGGTAGGAAGGAGAGAAAGAAATGAAGGTAAAAGAAGGGAGGAAAGAAAGGAATGAAGGAAAATGGAAGAAAGGAAGGAGCGAAAAGGGACATAAAGAAGGGGATGGAGAAGGAAGGAAGGGAAAGGAAGAAAGGGAGGGAGGGAGGAGATAAATGAGAAAGGGAAAGGGGAAAAAGGAAAAGAAAGGGAAAATAAAGAGAGAAAGGAAGAAGGGAAGGAAGGAAGGAATTAGAAATCAGAAATGTGAACAGAGAAAGCCATATATTCCCTCATTCAAAAAAGGGTTCCTTAAGAGACAATCTCAATCCTGCCTAAGACCCAGAAATAAAACAAGCCCTAAGGAAGATTTGTTTGTATCTCCCAGGTCCAATGAGAAAAAAAAAAAAGAAAGGAGTGAAAAATAAAAAACTCCGAAGAGATGGGAGAGAGCCCAACTGCTTCCTATTTCTGACTATTTTGTGGGAATCGTGTTCTTCTGCCTGTTCCCTTGAGGTGTTCAAAGTTGAAATAAAAAGTTGACTCTGTACGAATCCAAAAGTTGGAGACCCCAAACGGCGGTTTTAAAACTACTTTTCAGGAGAGGCCTGTTCTGTCCTGTCATTCTCTCAATAGCTCCCCTCCGTCAGTTGGGGTTTTGTTTTCTCCACAAATTCGTCTCCGCGGATGCTTCCTTCACCCGTTTATCCCTCCCTCTTCCAAGGTGGATCTCTCTGCAATTCCTTCTCTGGCTTCCTTTTCATCATCCAGAGAGTCCTTGACTTACGACCGTTAACGGAGCCCAAAATCTATGCTGCTAAGATGGGACCTTTGTGAAGCGAGTTTCGCCCCGCATCATGACGGTTCTCGCTACCGTTGTTAAGCGAACCGCTGCCCTTGTTCCATTAGTCCTGCGCTCGTTAAGTGAATCGGGGCTTCCTGGCTTGTCAGAAGGTCGCAAAAAGGGGATCATGTGACCCCTGGGATGGTGTAAGCCATCCTAAATATGAACCCATTGCCATTCGGTTCAATTTTGATTATGTGACTAAGGGGATGCTGCCATGGTCCTCAGTGTCGTAAAAACGGTTGTAAAGTCCCCTTTTTTTCCCCCCAGTGCCATCATAACTTCAAACGGTCACTAAATGAACTGTCGTAAGTCAAGGACTCTCTGGAACAGCGTTAGTGATGCGTATCTTAGAGGCCAAAGTCTGTACTATCTCAAAGGGCTGAGACATAGAAGGGGGACAGGACCTTGATTGTGGGGTTACAACCAGAGGCGGGATTCAAAAATCCCAGCAACCGGTTTGCTGCCTGGTTGGTGGTTAGGCATGGCCACGGTGGGCGTGGCCAACCAGAACTTCCGGGAGGGCTGTTTTTCACCTTCCCCGGAGTCCGGAGGCTTCCCTCGGGCCTCTGGGAGAGCACAAATAGCCTCCCCCAGAGTCTGGAGGCCCTCCGGAAGCTGGAAACAGGATTCCAAACGGACCATTTTCTCCCTCCCAGAGCCCAAACAGGCCCCCACGGAAACTCCCGGGAGGGGTGGGTTGGAGTGGGCGGGGCCAGCCGGTCAGTTCAACTGCCGATTCGGCAAACCGGATGTGAATTTAACTTCCCGTTTTCGCCCGAACCGTCCTAAACCGGCTGAATCCCACCCTGGTTACAACCAGCATCTACGAACCCCTCTTGAGAATGAACCCAAGACAAGGTTCACCGATTCTACTGTCCTTCACGCGGTGTCCAGGATAAATCTGCAGAAGCCCTACAGGTTTTGAGGAGGGATGCTTTCCCGATTTCCCCGCTTATCATCCACTCGTGAAAAATCCACTCGTGGGTTTGACCGGGGGGAGGTGGACGAATTCATGCGTTCAAACTGACTTTGGGACAAGGGCAGAGAAGAGCACTTGAGATGAGGCCTAATCATTGAAGAGCCTGGAGACCAAAACAGCCGAAGAACGGCTGCAGGAAATGGATTTGGCTAGTCTAGAGAAAAGAAGGCATGAGAATAGTATTCCAATAATGGAGGGGCTGCCACAAAGAGGAGGGGGCTCAATTTATTTCCCAAAGAACAAGAGGGCAGGACAAGAAACAAGGGATGGAAACTAATCAAGGAGAGAAGCAACCCAGAATTAAGGAGAAACTTCCTAACAGGTAGGACAATTAACCAGGGGAACAACTTGCCATTAGAAACGGTAGAGGCTTCCTCACTGGAGTTTTTAAAGAAAAGACTGGACAGCCACTGGTCTGAAGTGATATAGGATCTCCTGTTTGAGTAGGGGTGGGTGGGTGGGCTAGAAGACCTCAAAGGCCCCTTCCAGCTCTATTCTAATTGATCGATTATTCCAGCTGTAATGATGCCTTCACAGAGAAAGATCTGGCAGCAAATTGGGTAGATGATATTATGGCCTTTGTAACTTTCCATTGTGTTGGGAAATGCAACACAAAAATGCCTGCCAATGACTCACAATAAGGCAAAGCTTCCTCTCGCACCTACGTGTTAGTCGTTTCCAGCTCTAGGGGGGTGGCGCTCATCTCCATTACAAAGCCGAAGAAGAGCCAGCGCTGTCCGAAGACACGTCTCCATGGGTCGTGTGGCCGGCAGAACTAAACGCCTTCGAAGGCGCATGGAACGCTGTTCCCTTCCTGCCAAAGGGGTGCCTATTTTCCTACTTGCATTTTTTTACGTGCTTCCAAACTGCTAGGTTGGCAGAAGCCGGGACAAATAATGGGAGCTCACTCCGTTACGTGGCACTAGGGATTCGAACCGCCGAACTGCCAACCTTTCTGATCGACAAGCTCAGCATCTTAGCCCCTGAGCCACCACATCCCTGATGACTCACAAGAAGAAACTCTTATCTTCACCTCCCCGCCCTTCAATTCCGTCCTAGGATCTCTACGTTATCTACAGCGCCGGTTTTTATTTCTGGGTCTTGGCTGTGCTCTTGTGGTTGAGGAAGGCGATCCAGAGAGAAAACAGGAGATACGCTTTGGAAGGGTCTTCAGGGAGAGGCCACGACTTGGGTTGACTTTCCTTCAGCAAATACACCGTGGCTGGTTTTGGAAGAGGAAGCAAAGGATCTGGAGGTCTCATTCAAGTAGGTAACTCAAGAGCTCTTCAAACTTGACAGCATTAACACTTGTGGACTTCAACTCCCAGGATTCCTCCTCCAGTCACGTTGGCTCAGGAATTCCAGGAGTTGAAGGCCACAAGTCTTAAACCTGCCAAGTTGGAAGACCCCTTGCTTAGTAACCAGAGAAGGAACAGGTGGGGACACATAGATGACTCAAGCTTGGGAGAACAGTTCTCTTTCCACTACAAGGAAAGTAACCATGATTGACCAAACCAAACCAAACCCAACCCAACCCAACCCAACCGAAAAAAGGAAACCGAATGAAAATCAGAAAAGGGGAAGAGAGAAAAAGGCGGACTTCCCTTCTCCACCCAATCTCCAGAGATTGGTGGACAGTCCTCTTGGTTCACAGGCCCCTGAGGGCCTTTCTTTCCATGATGTTCCTCCTGGTTCCTCTTCATGAGGACAAAGATCGAGGAGAGGCAGCCATTGTTTTTCTTGTGTTTGTTTGTTTTTTCTCCCCCCAACCACAATGGTGGGACTTCCGAGGGCAAGAGAGCAACTTCTCCCTTGGCGCAGCTTCTGAATGAACCGCGGGCCTCCTCTCCGCCCGTGGATGGCGTGCCCTCAAAGCAGCAAAGCATGATGGAGGTGAACCCCAACGTTACTCCTGCTCGGTTTCAGTGGAGCAGGCAGTGGTACATTCTGGTTGCCACCAAGGAGGAAACCTGCCAGGGACTCCATCCTGAACACTCCCTGTCTTCGGGGAGTCCTTCTTGTGAAGAGGTCCCTCAAAATCCCGGAGGACTAGTTCCTTGGTGTTGGTAGGTCCAGCAGGTGAGGCTCAGAGACGTCTAGGCGTCTTCTGGCAACTCTCCTCGGCAGCCAGTTGGAAACTTGCACTTGATGAAAACTGAACTGAGGCACGGCTTGGTTTTTTTTTGTGTGTGTGTTTGTGTGTGTGTGTGTGTGTGTGTGTGTGTGTGAAAGTTCTTTTTTTGTTCATTTGTTTTGTGTCGAATCCCTCCTGGAAAGTCCCCCTCTAAGTGGGGCAAGTTCTCAGCTGTCTATGCTCATGAGGGTTATAACTTGTTCAAGTTTGTAGGTGAGTTTCTGCTTTCCGGCTTGGTCGTCCTGATTGAGGGCTCCAAGGATCTGTGAGGAACGGAGAAAGGAGAAAAAAAAAGGGAAGGTCTTCAACATGATCTCTTAAAGGTACCCCATAAGGGTAAGCTTGGAGGGCCGCGATGGCAAACTTAGGGCACGCGAACCCCAGCCAAATTTACCATGCACTGCGCATGCGTGCACCTCCCAGCTGATTTTCGGCCCATTTGAGGCTGTTTTCGCCCTCCCGGAGGCTCGAAGGAAGCCTCTGCAGCCTCGGGAGGCTGAAAAATGGGCCTTCTGGAAATACCGGACATGTCAAAACAGGCCCATTTTCCGGACTCCTGAGCCTGCAGAGGCTTCCTTCGAGCCTCCGGGAGAGCCAAAAGGGCCTCAAACAGGCTGAAAATCAGCTGGGAGGTGCGTGCATGTGCAGTGCAGGTAAAGGGGCGGGGTTGGAGGTGTTGTGCGTGCATGCATGGGGGGGGGGGTGAGGCACATGGTATTGTGAGTGCCAGCACGCACATGTGCTTTAGGCACACCACAACCAAAAGGTTCGCCATCATTGCTGTAGGAGAAGGAGAGGCAGAACCTGAAGGAGGAGTCAAGAGAGGAACCAGCCTAGAATCATTATGTTCTCACAAGCGGTTCATCAACAAAAAACAGATTGTGGGGTTTCACTTTAGCTACATTTGCAGCAAGATTGAAGGTGGGTGTTTGCACAAAGTTGGCCTGCTTCCTGGGTTTTGCAAACCTAGTTTGTTCATTTAGCTTATGGTCATCCTGCTCATCTCTAACACGCTTGACCTGGTCTGCGTGAGTTCATTTTGGTGGTAGGAAAAACAGATTAAATCACACCCTGACCCAATGTGCTGGGTTCACAGAATATACTAAACTGTCAAAATAACACACACACACACACACACTATACAGAACCCTTGACCAATGGTTAACATTATTTAAATTTAGCTTTTGGGCAAGTGCTTAAACATGTAGTCATGATTGATCTATTGAAGTGAACTGCAATCCAATTAAGTAGGGATGAACAGCATGAGCCCTTAGACTTATATACCGCTTCACGGTGCTTTACAGCCCTCTCTAAGTGGTTTATAGAGTCAGCCTCTTGTCCCCCAACAATCTGGGTCCTCATTTTACCCACCTCGGAAAGATGGAAGGCTGAGTCAACCCAGAACTGGTCAGGATCAAACTGCTGGCAGTCAGCAGTACTAGCCTGCAACACTGCTTTCTAACCACTGTGCTACCACAACTCTCTAAGAGGTATACGTAATACATACATACATACATACATACATACATACATACGTCCACAATTCCAGGCCTTCCTTCTGTCTATCTATCCAACAATTCCTCCATCCTTCCATCCATCCCTCTATCCTAAATATCAGACCAATCAATCAACTATCCCTTCCTCCCTCCCTCCCTACATACATGCATACATACATCCAAAATCCCAGGCTTTCCTTCCTTCCCTCCTTCCTTCCATCCATCCATCCATCTATCCAACCATTCATCCATCCATCCTAAATTCCAGACCAATCAACCATCCATCCATCCTTCCATACCTCCCTCCCTCCCTCCCTACTTACATACATACAGCCAAAATTCCAGGTCTCCCTTCCTTCCTTCCTTCCTTCCTTCCTTCCTTCCTTCCTTCCTTCCTTCCTTCCTTCCTTCCTTCCTTCCTCCCTCCCTCCCTCCCTCCCTCCCTCCCTCCCTGATCCACCCACCCATCCATCCATGATCCATCCATAACCCATCCATCCATCCATCCATCCATCCATCCATCCCTCCCTCCCTCTCTATTTACATCCCTCCCTCCCTCCCTCCTTACATACATACATCCAAAATTCCAGGACTGCCTGCCTGCCTTCCTCCCTCCCTCCCTCCCTCCATCCATGATCCACCCACCCATCCATCCATGATCCATCCATCCATCCATCCATGATCCATCCATCCATGATCCATCCATTACCCATCCATCCATCCATCCAACCAACCAACCAACCAACCTATAGACAGACTCGATGCTCCTCAAGGTCCCTTCCAATTCTTTGTATAGATCTGTACAGTTCTATACAATTCTGGTATAGACCAGTGTTTCTCATCCGTGGCGACTTTAAGTTGGGGAGACTTCAACTCCCAGAATTCCCCCAGGCAGCCATGTTAAGTCCCCCCCCCCATTTAAATTGGTGAGGTAGAGAAACACTATTCTGGATGACTCCGTGGAATGATTTGCAGGCGTGTATGCCCCTCATATCAAAGGATACGCCAATTGCAAAACCCAATTGGTTTTGACTCCCCCCCGAGTCTTAAGAAATCCATAAAACGGGCTGAAGGACACAACTAAAGGTTAGTTCACCCATTGGCACACGCGGCCCTCACCGCCCCAGGCTCACCTCTTCGCTGTACTTGCCCACATACGAGTAGATCTCGGAGAGTGCGCTCATAGTGTTGAACTCATTCATGTGCATGCGCGACTGCTCAGCTAGATAAGCATTCATATCCTGGTCGCTAATCGCTGGCATCTTGCCGATATCTGAGTAATACCTGGAGGGAATAAAGCAAAAAGAGTGAGAACCCCGTTAAAAAAACAAACCAGGCTAGATGTAAAAATAACAGAATAACGGAGTTGGAAGGCACCTTGGAGGTCTTCTAGTCCAACCCTATGCTCAAGCAGGTGATCCTATATCCCTTCAGACAAATCTTTTCTTTAAAACTTCCAGTGTTGGAGAATTCACAACGAGGCAAGTGGTTCCACTTGTTTAATTGTTGAATTGTTCTCCATCCGTTGTTTCTTATCCTGCTTTCGGGTGCCTTGGAGAATAAGTTGACACCCCCCCACCCTTCATTGTGGCAGCCCCTCAAATATTGGAAGACTTCTCTAGGTCCCCCGCTAGTCCTTCCTTTCTCCAGACTAGCCGGACCCAAATCCCACAACCATTCTTCATATGCTTTTGTCTTTAATCATCTTAGGTTTTCTTTATTTAATTTAGTCTGACAGGCGTGTACGAGGAAAACAAGTGTAAGTATGAACGTAGAAGTTTCGGGCTCTATTGTGGTCGTACGTCGAGAGCTACCGGTACTTCTCAAGGCAAGAAGCTGCCACCGATAGTCCTTGACTTACAACAGTTTATTCAGTTGGCATTCAATGTTACAATGGCGCTGTAAAAAAAGTGACTCACAACCAGTTTCTTGACCTTACAGCTGTGACAGAATCCCCACCTCATCATCTCCTTTGAATGACCTCATAACCCCTTGCATCGGGGTGGAGTCTAGGCAACTGAACGGAGTTGAGTGTTTACTGGCCGGATGCCTTTCTTGTCGCTGATGCGGAGTTTTGTTCGGCAGATCTCTTCTCATCGTGCCCAGAGAGAGAAATATCTGCCTCTACCTAGGATCGAACTCACAGTCTCCTGATGGTGAGGCCAGAGCTCCACCTCTAGGCCACCGTACCACTCACGGAAAACCCCACATCGTGGGATCAACATTCAGACAAATTGACAACTAGCGTGTATCTACGATGGTTGTAGCCTCGTGGGGTGATGCGATCTCCATCTGCGGCCTTTCCCAGGCGAAGTCAAGGGGGGAATTTGGATCCTCTTAACAACCATATGGTTCACATAACAGTTGTGGAGAGACCCTTAACGACCGTGGCAAAAAAAGGGTCATAAAATCGGGGCCCTCATCCCTTAACACCTGCCTTGCTTCACCATGAAAATTCTAGTCCCACTTTTGGTCGTAAGTGGAGAGCTCACCTGTACAGAAATCAGAGAAACTTTGATAAGCAGGCTTGAGAATTCAGTCGGTGTCTGGTCTGAGTTGCAACACCTCACTGTAGCCAAGAGGCCTTTGAAACCACCTTCATGCAGTGTGAAGATTTACGCGCGGAGACCTGGGCTTCTTCAGGAGACTGTCATTTTGGGGGGGGGGTGTCCCCCCCCGCTTCTCCCTGGCTTTTAAGTACGTTTGGACCACGGAGGACAGGATTTGCAGAAGGTAATCACTCACTATCACCAGCAGCTGCGCTCCGCTGTCAACTGGTTAATTAGATGCCGTCATTTACATTTTTAATTCCTGCAATCTGACATTTTGCACGCACGCTGAGAAATAGCCGCACGTGCGGCCCCTGGAATTTGGTAATTCGCAGAGAGGGAGGAAAAAAAGTAGGAGCTAAAATGGACGACAGGTGTCTTACAAAGCCACCTCGGCCGCCTGCGGAGTTTTGCACCCGTGTTCAGTTCCTTCCCTGAACAGTTCACGTTCGTTTAATGGTCAGCCCTGCTAAAGTGACCTTAGAATAGATATCATATGGCCAATCTATCACCTCTAATTTTTGTACAGGTAGCGCTCGACTTACAACCACAGAGATAGAGGGACTCACTCAAAACCACCCAGACAACTTCCATACTTAAGGCGAGATTGAAACTCACCGTCTCCGGGAGATTGGCCCAAAGTCACCCAGCCAGCTTTCATGTTTAAGGTGTGACTAGAACTCACCATCTCCTGGTGATAGGTCAAAGTCACCTAGCTGACTTCCATACTTAAGGCAGGACTAGAATTCACCACCTCCTGGTGATTGGCCCAAAGTCATCCAGC